AAAAAAAAAAACTCACCTGTTACGGCAGAAACAAATTTCCTCTTCAATTCAGTCATTCAGCAGCAAGTTGTCTTTGAATTCTAGAAATAGGCCTAAATCTTCCTTTGTTTTTAATTTTGCTTTTTCTCCTTGTAAAGTGTCGTTGGATGTTTGGCATCGTAGGTTTGGGCACTCATCTAACAAAGTCCTCAATTCAGATTTAAAAAGTTATAATGTGAATGCTGCTGATAATGAAAAAACTAGCTTTTGTGACTCATGTCAACATGGAAAGTCTCATGCTTTACCTTTTAAACTATCTACCTCTCTTGCTAGTAAACCCTTAGAACTTGTTCATTGTGATTAACTAAATTTAGGGATTGCACTAGAAGATTCAACCAAGTTAACTTTAACTGAATTTAGGGATTGAGAAGATATCAAGCTTCTTGAGTGCGCACGTGACTGAACAGGTCATTTTTCTTATGTTTCAAGTGGCTGTAATGATCACTCTAAGAAGGAGGGACTTTCTAGAGTAATACATTGACTGAAGAATCTCACATATCTCCATGCCTTCAGACAGTACATTTGCCACCAGGTTATCGTACTCATGAACCTGATCCATCGGACGACGTACTTCCTTCAGCCTGCATCGTACCCACCATATCTATACTCTAACGTGTCCCAAATGACACTTGCCACTAGGTTCTCGTTCATATGGTTGAGAAGATGCCCACAGACCGTTTTGTTGTCTTCCTCGAATTTTTCAGCTTCGACAATAGCGGCAGTAGACGTCCCGGGATCAGCAGCAACAGCTAAAACGGTGTCAACGGCAATGGCAAGTAGATTAGTGACGGCTGCGGTGATAGTAGCGACAGTGGCAGCAGTAGCAACGACGGCGGGCTAAGCAGCATAAGGATGTAGTCGACCTCCAATTGCTCAAAGAAAATCAATAACTTCTATGTGGTAGTTGGATCCGTCGAGTGATTCCAATTTTGACAAGTCCGGTAGGACCTTCCCAAATCGGATAACAGTCATGGGTAGATAGGAGAGTTTGCTTTCAACTTGTAGGAGATAAAGGACAAAATTGGAACTGGGAAGTAAAAGTATTGTGTTATGGGCGGAACCGCTCCTTGAAAGCAAAATTGGCACGACCTCAATGCTAAATCGTTTTACTACCGATATACTCCCCAAGGTTAACACAACCTCCAATTCAGACGTGCACTCGTCAGAATGGGAGTGAAATCAATCTCGTGCTTACTTAAGATAGTGGAAAGAAGTGGGAAAAGTGAAGGAATAGAGTGGAGAACAGGAGAGAATTTAGATGAATTAGGATGAATTGAATTGGCAGGGAATGACCTTTTTATAGTGATAGAGTGACCCAAAATAGAATTGAATTTTTAAAATAAAAAATTCAAAAAGTTGAATAGCCCTTTTCTACATTGCCACGTTTCTTGACTTCCTCTCAGCCAACGTTCATCCACGTATCCACCAATTCTTCTGAGTTTGTCATGTGTTTTTGACTTTGTAAGAAGAAATCTGTCCCAAAAAGAAAACCAGGCCCAAGTCAGACGGTGGCGGTGGCGCGCATGTGGGCTTTGGTCTTGGCTTACCTCACACTAAGTTTATAAATCGAGTACTGTTTATAAACCAACTTCCCAAATGTTATGCTTCTGATGTAGGACAAAAGCAGGTTTTAATATTTGTCATTCCCAACACCCACCTTCTTCTTTTTTTCGTTTGGATTATTCAGAATCTTACGCCTTCTTCTGAACCCCTTTCATATTTTCTAAATCTCGCTTCAGAACTTCCAAATCTCGCTTTAGATCTCCCAATTCTCGCTCGTATCTTACTCAGATTTGTCTGGTTCGTTAAGATCTATCACGCTCTCAGTGCTCTCTCTCACACCCTCTCTCGATCTATCTCTCTCTCCTCTTTCGGTCTCTCTCCCATTGGTCTCTCTCTCCAAGATTTTTTTTTTTAATTAAATTTTAAATTTGATACTTTCACATAATTTGATTAAATTTTAAATTATGAACGAAATGAGGGGGAAATCAAAATTGGAGGGGTTAAATTTGAAATTCAATCATAATTAAAACTACGAGAGATTTACCCCGGTTTGGAACCTCTGATTTAGAGGGATTCCAAAATTTATCATTTCCAGTGTTGGATATTGAAAAAAAAAATGATTTTAAGTCCCAAACGATTTCAAATCATGTTTCTCCTACCATTATTTTTCTTTCCAAATAGCTGACATTTGTGAGGATTTCAGTTTTAAATGTAACAAATTTCTGTTTTGCCCTCATTTTTAGGTGAAAAAATAACAATTTCATTTTGTTTTTTAACTATTCCTACCTACACCCTCTCTTCTACGCACCATCACTTCTAATAAGTAGAATTTTTTCTACTACGCAGATAATATGATAGAAAGGTTAGTTTCAAATTTTTCTTCTACCTTCTTAGTTTTTTTTTTTATTCAAATAGTTATCTTCACTTTAATATCTGTAATTTAAATCTTTACAAGCAAACATTTTTTTTTGCATCATCAGGTAAATTCCATATTGGTTTTCTCTTTTGTTCTAGTCTATTTAAGTTTTTTTCTATTTAATTATTGCTTGATTTTTGTTTATGGTTTTTTAGTTCTTTTCTTTTTTATTTTTTTTTTCTTTCATCCCTTTGCATTTGTTTTTCATTACTGTA